CTTCAGGGAGCCCAATCAAGTCCAAGTTCGGGAGCCCCACCGATGACTGTTGAAACATGGCAGATAGGAAAACCCGAACAGTTCAAGTCAGACCCTGCTGAATATTCTGATTGGTCATTGGTTTTCAAGGCTTACGTGACATGCATCTCGGCCAATTACATCGGTTTGTTTGAAAGAATTGAACAATCAAGGGTCCCCATGCCCAACCGGTTGCTGAGTGAATCGGATAAAGCATGCTGGCCAAGGGAAGGGCACTGGACATCATTCAGAATTCAGGGCCAGGAGAAGGGTTGAAGCATTCCGGAAACTGGAAGAGGCTTACCACCCCAAACTGGCCAAGTAGTTTGTCACTGATTCATACTACCAAGTTTGGGCCTGACATTGAATCAGAGTTGGAAATGTTTGACAAGAATATCAGAAGATACGAAGCTGAATCTGGAAAGACCCTGGATGATGAAATCCTTCTCGGTGTGGCGATTGCTGGGTTGCAGGATCACTATGACGGATCATGTGATGCGGAATTCAAGTCGGTTGAGCAGGTACCACTTGGTTCGTGGTGAATTGCTGGAAATTGCAAGAACCAGCCGGGTCTTGAATCAGATGCCACAACCCATGGAAATTGGGGGGCCATCCTTGAAGATCCCAGGGGAGGACGCTGAATCACCGATACCTGTCTTGGTGATTGTTGATGAACGCACTGGATGTGTTTTTAGCCGGGTTTGTGGCCAAAGGTGTGAACCCTTACGCAATCCACCTAGTCACTGAAGCCCTTAAATTTCTGGGTAGACAGAAGGTGGCGGTTGGACAGATCAAATCCGAACTGTCCCAGGATGTCACTGCTCAGACGACAACCCCAAGCCTCACAACAAAGAATGCAGAGCGAGGTTTGAAGAAATCATCAGGAAAGAAAAAGCTGAGGCAGCCAGAAAGGAAGATGTTGAAATGGGAGCGGGTGGCCCCGCCAGTGAAAGAGTGGGAAGCTCCGCTCCGGGTGCGGGTGGCACCGCCCCAACACAAGCTGGTGGCACCGCTGGTCATGCGGGTGGCGCCGCTGACCAAGATCAAGCAGGTGGCACCACTGATCAAAATCGGAGTGGCGCATCAAAATCCCAGGTGGGTGGAACCGCTGGGCAGGCAGCGGGTGGCACCGCAGCCAGACCTGACGCGGGTGGCACTGCTTGGGCTGAAGCCACGGGGGAAGCAAAGAACACGAATGGATCCCAATGTTCAAAGATCTCAAAGGAGAGAGGCAGATCAGGGCATTGAAAACCTGGAAGATCAAGTCCTGAACTGGTAAGGTTGGAACAGGTCTTGGCCGAAAAGACCGGAGAGCGATTAGAGGAAGACCAAGTGAGAAAGGCACGTACAAGGGAAATGGAAAAGATGGAATTGCACAAGGTCAGGGAGAATATGACCATGGAAGAGGTCAAGAAGCGTGGCCTCAAAGTTGTGAAATCCAGGTGGGTAGATACCAGAAAGGCCCTACCTGATGATCCACGAGGTGTGAGATCCAGATTGGTTGCTCAAGAGATCAATGTTGGTCCAAGGGACGACACATTTGCAGGCACACCGCCTTTGTGGGTGCGTAGCCTTGTCTCGAAAGCAGCCACTGCAGCAAAGGCAGACAAGGGCAAGAAGAGATTGGTGGCAAGATACGACATTTCTGTCGCCTTCTTTCATGCCTACAGCACTGGTGGCATAGCAGTCATGCCACCCAAGGACATGTACGTTGGAGTCAATCTTTGGTTCCTTCTCAAGGCTATGAATGGAACTCGAGAAGCCAGCAGGCAGCGGGGACTGTACATCAAGGACAGTATGGTTCCTGCGGGTTCCATTGGATCAGCGGCCATTCAAGGCCTTTACTATCGCCCAGAATGGGAAATCATGATTGCATGTCACGGCGATGACTTCCTTTCCTGGCGGAAGGTCTTTCTGAAGATCTGGACTGTCTTGATGAATAGATGAAGGAAAAGTTCGAAGTAAAGATTCTGCCCAGGATTGTAGATCCTGACCATGGAGGGGAAGTGTCAGAAGGAACGCACCTCCACAGAATCATCAAGTGGAACCATCAAGGTTTCAGTTGGGAAGCAGATCCCAAGTATGCAGCGCAATTGGCAAAGGACATGGGAACGAGGATTGCTACTGCACCGGGCCACTTTGGGTACCCTGGTTCTCCGTTTCCGGAGTACGCGGTCTGACCGCGGCACAGCCCTGTCTGCTCAGTGCGCTGCCGGGTATCGAGCCGGGGCCCGGGGGTACCGGCCCCCCTGCAAAGGACATGGGCCTAGACAAGGCCAGAGGAGTTGAAACCCCAGCATCCAAGGAGACTGGAAAGAATGAAAGAAACCTTGACCGTTTTCTGAAAGACAAAGATGCAAAGTGGTTCAGGCAGATGGCCCGAACTGCGCTTTACTTGTCAGTAGATCGACCAACGATTCAGTTTGCAGTTTCACAGATTGCAACAGGCATGTTGCAACCAACAGAGTTGCACCTGCTGCATGTGAGAAGACTTGTTCGATACTTGGTCAAGCATCCAACAGAACAGTGGCGATTTGATTTGCAAGATGAGCCCGATTCATTGCACATCTACTGCGACAGCGACTGGGCCACTTGCAACAAGTCAAGGAAAAGCATGAGCCCGATTCATTGCACATCTACTGCGACAGCGACTGGGCCACTTGCAACAAGTCAAGGAAAAGCATGAGTTGCTATGCCGTGAAATATGGCTTACACCTGTTGGACACCAGCTGCGCACGACAAACAGTGATTGCCCCCAGCTCTGGTGAGGCTGAATACTATGCTCTCACAAGAGGCGCATCCGCTGGATGGTTGGTAAAAGGTGTTTATGAAGAGATTGGAAGGAGGTTGCTGATGGATGATTTGCCTTACTGACTCATCAGCAGCGAAAGGCATCGCATCAAGAAAAGGTGTCGGAAAAGTGAAGCACTTGTCACTCAAAGAACTGTGGGTGCAAGATGCTATTGAGCAGAAAAGATTCAAAGTACAGAAGGTTGGAACAGATTCCACCTGGGCAGATCTCGGAACGAAAGTTTTGGACGGCAGTCGCATTTTGCAACTGCTGAAGCTGCTGCGCCTCAAGGGAGGAGCTGTGATTGCATCAGTGGTGACCTTTGCAACAGCTCAAGGACGGGATGAACAGGAGGGATTCAGCATCACTTTTTTTGGCTGTATTTCCTTATTGTTCATTTGTTAGCTTTGTATGTTTTCATCAGTCTCGTTTTGAACATGGTCAATTGGATGAAGCCGAAGAAAGAGCTAACACTTTCAATGTCAGAAATGGAAGAAGAAGAAGAAGATCGCGGATTGGGAACGACAAGCTCGCCTGAGAGAACAGAGGTTGTACAGAACAGAACTCCTGAAGACGCAGGTCTTCGGTCTAGAAGTTCAGCTGCTATAAATGAACCAGCAGCAATGCAGCAAGAAGCACAACTGCTGCAAACGAATCAGCAGCAGATGAAATTCGTATGTATCATAGGCCACGGTGAAAAGTATCATCGTCCTAACTGTGGGATGGTGTGTGCACCTGTTAACAGACACAGGGTCAGAAATATGCTCCGTGGTGCTGCCATCAATGCAGGCTATACAGCTTGTAAGCAGTGCCGACCAAGATAGTTGACCCACCTTCGGCAGAGCAAAGTCAAAGACTATGCTCAGCGACTCAGTGGAGGGGTGTTGGATCATATAGCCTATACATAGCATGTAACTTATCATGTAACCCATGACAGCCATTGTCAGGTACTGTCATGTGCCAAGGACATTCACTTGGCTTTGGCTCAAGAACGCTTGCCCCGCGCGAGCAAAACGATGTGCTGCGCCGTTTCACATACAGACGCTTTTATACACAGATGCTTTTACGCGGAAGATGAATTGCACACAGAAACTTGTGCACACAACACACTTTTACAGGCAACCAACTTTTACACAGAGAAGTTTTGTTTCCCCTTCTTGATCACCCACCTTTCGGGTTTTTGTAGGGGCGTTCGCTGGTCTTCAACCCGTGTTTGGATTTTGTAGTGGCCATTTTGGAGCCCAAATGCTATTAAAAGGGGACGCAAAACAGTGGTGGAGAACCCCGCTAATATATTTATATGTTTCAAACATTTTCCATTTCAAGGAATGTTGACTATCCATGGCCCTGCGCTGAATGCTAAAAACCACCCAAAAGATCCAAAAAACCCAAAATAACATACAAAACAGTGGTGGCGAGCCTAAAGAACCCTAGTTTATGATTTTGCAGAGGTACACCATTCTTGACCCATGTTTGGGATTTTGTAGAGGCCCACACCCCCCATCCCCCACCAAAGCACACCAATGCTATCAATTCTATGCATTGATACTGAAGGTCGTTAAAAACAAACAAATTTCCCTTCGAAAGGGGTCCTTAAGACAAAAGGGTTTCTGAAATCGACATGTGCGATGGGGCAGCAGCGGCGGTCAAAAAAACTGCAGGCAAAAAGTAGGGTAACAAATTAGGAAGGCTATTCATGAAACCCCGACTGATGGCATGTTACGCACAGATTTCGAACTATTTCGTTCAGTCCAACAAAGAAACAACACCGATTGGTGTAAAGCACGTGTTTGCAGAACATGCTTGGTCGACATTCCTTCTTTTGAATGTGCTTGAATGGTTTGAAATACTTTGTTTTTTCTCTCCATGGTTTCTGATAGCTTCAGTTGGACAATCCCTACGGCCTGTAAAAGATCCATTTTTTTTTGGGAACATACACCTGTGCCAACATATTGGTGTCAGACAATGTCAATGTGTGAGGGGTTAGATTTTTTAGAACCAAAAAAAATGGTACAATAGGACAAAAGTGCATTGAAAAAATGGGGTTGACGGCCGGGATTTTTTAGAGAATGCAGGGTGTGATTTGTCCCATGTCTGTAATTTTGTAAAGGCCACCCCCAGTTTTCACCTTGCATCCAAAAAATCCCAACCGTCAACCCCGCCACCCTAATTGGAGAGAGGATATCTCAGACTGTGTTGTGAAAGTGCGGACATTGAGATTTCCCATGTTTCAGCACTGAGGGCCACCATCATGCACTAAATAGAATGTTCTGGGTGGGTGAAATATTCCAATCAACCAGTTCACAATTTTCCAACGGGCAAGTACGGGTGGGTTATATTTTACTTGGCGTTTGAAACCCGTTTGGATGATGATTGGAGTCCCTCATTTGAAGCAACAATGTTCTCTGCAAGTTCAACCACCTCCCAACCAGATAGCAAAAGAAGGCACTCCAACTTTCTGACAACGCATCCCAGGATGCAACTGGAGCAACTTTTCATAGGTCCCTGGACTTCATACGACCACTACATTTGCAAGGCAAATGCTTTAGTTTGCTGGATGTCAATCAATGGCCTATCTTCCAAATCGTTTGTTGGTTCCAACATGGCAAAATAAGATTTCAAAGCCATTGCAGATGCATGGTGTGTGTGTGTGTGCTAGGTGAACTTGCCACAGGAATAATATCAGATTGCATTTGTGTAGCATGTAGCCGAGAGGCAAATGTCAACAGCATTCCACGAGGCTTGCACAGCTGTCCCGTGGACCTGGGACCGAGCTGGCTGATGGATGGCAAGTTGCAGGTCATCGTCGATGCAGTGGCGTTTTGTCAGAAAACACACAGAAACAAGATCAGTCAGTGGGAACTTTCAAACCATATGGGGTTATAGCGATTTGCACCGGTTCAACTTCCTCCATTTAGGCACACCAGAGGAAAAAACATGGTTGAAACCACCGTTCCCCAAGAAACCTGGCAGATCAGTCTGCCCCACCCTGGAACTACATACCCTTCTCAGTACATTTGGTCCACCAGCCTTGCCCCTTGCGGCAGGTGGACAAGCGACACATGGCTGAGACTATCAAACTACAGGTTTGGGCGACAATGTGCTGTTGAAAATCTTGCGAACAGTTTGCAATTGCCTCGGACTGCGCTAGCGGCAGTTTGTTTGATACTACTGTTGTTGTCAGCCTTTGATCGCTGCGCTACAGGCGTGTCAGTCGGGCGTCCTCTACAACATTCAGAACAGAGCAAATCGTCTACATAGCAGGCTCCATATACTCACCGTACCTGAACAGTCTTGGTCATACCATGTCAGCAAGGAGCACGACATCCAGATAGTCGCTGTAGTTATTGAACATGAGCCATGACTTGATGGATCGCGACTGCCGATGTGGGAGTGCTGCTCAAGTTTAGAGAAAACTAACAGGGAAGAAACATGGGAGCTTTGGACGCTAGCCCATCATGGTATGCAATTAAACATAATTGCAGTATAATTAAGGGCAGGACTGAGGGTTGTCCCGGAATGGTCGTATGAACGTCAGTGGGAGGCTCATTTCTCTGCGCAGGTGCAGTGTTTTATGACTCTGGTACATCTGTGAGTTAGCGTGGTCTAAGACGAATTTTTGGCAAAATCAGTCAGAAAAGTGAACCCTCTGCGGACTGCACGCGTTTCGGCCATTTCCACTTTTTCAATCTTTTCGACTTTTTTGGCGAGTCCGGATTTCATAACTTATGTAAACCCTAAATGAAACACCTAATAGAAGTATGCGTATATGTTCCATGGGGCCGGGGGATTTTATAATACCCTATATGAAACCCCTAATAGAGGTATGCGTATATGTTCCATGGGGCCGGGAGATTATGACAAGGAAATGTTATGACAAGGAAATCCCTGGCACTGGAATGATGGAACCAATGGGTTGCTAGCTCCGCTCTCGGGTATGCCCTCGTCCTGTGGGTATACGTCCTGTGGGTATAATTGCTAGCCTTGCAGCCTTGGGACGGACATCCTTGCTCTACATCATTCCCGTTCCTAGTGCCAAGCATCGAGACCAAACAACCCCACCAAGACACACCCGAAAGCAACGAACATACCCATACATACACAGACTAAAGTCCTTTGGAAAAACGATGCTATCCAGATTCCCCAAAAGCGAGGTCCTCTCTGTGTTTCACCTGCGAACAGAGCTTGGCCTATCTTAGTTGTTAACAGCTTGAGCAGGCTATGAAGATCAACTTGAGCAGGCTATGAAGATCAACTGTAGCTCTCAAATGTCAGCTTATGCAGGCTCCAGCAGTCTCGAGAAAACATCTTCAGCGCACTGCTGGTGCTTCCGTTGTCTGATTTGCCCGGGGGCCCAGATGCTGCAGGGCCGAGATTTGACTTTCAAATGGAGTGATTGCAGCAATTTCAAGCATGCCAATCTGGTAATCCAGCAATGAAAGACAGTGAACTGTGAACCCAAACTTCAATGAGTCTTCCATTGCACCGGCTTGCAAGAAGCCAAGAGATATGGACCAGCCAGTCTCTGTTTATTTTTGATGTAACTGTAAATCACTTTGTTTGTTGGTTGAACAAACAAATACATCGGGCTTCTTTCAAAAGAAGTGGATGGACCCCTGTGTTTGCTTGTTTCCAGAGACAAAAACTTCTGCGAGATTGGATACTTTGCTTGCGCGCTCAGAATCTCAGACACACAAACTTTCTACCAACAGGCCCTAAGCAAATCTTGTAGAAATAACTGTTTGGGACCACTCTATTTGAACACGTGTCAACGAACTTTCCACGCTTTGGTCTTCCGGTAGAGAACAGCACGCGGACAGATCCCATTGGAAACGCACGAAACACTTGTGTAACTGTACGTATTATAGGATTGATCCTGTTGATTCTTTAGAGCACCTTCTTCAAAGGAATTACAGCGTGATACGAGGGAAGACATATATTCAAGCACAGGAGAGATGTCACTCTGCGAGCAATGGTGGACTACAGCCGTTTCCATTCGAACTATGATGGAGTCTTGACCGACCTGACATCAATGCTGGATCAATTCTGCACTGTCGCGTTTTGCAACCTGTCATGTCTTTCCGCTGTGCATACTCCGTTTGGTTGATGAAATGCCGTTTGTTTTCACAATGTTGGTATGATTCAGCCGCCGGAATCTGGATTCAGAGCGGGGATTCAAACGTTTCTTTCGCTTTTCGACAGTCGTTTGGGTCATGGGTCCTGTTCATTTTTTTGGTATACGCTATGAATAGGCCCTGCAGAAAGCATACCAACATTAAGCTGCTCCAAACTTGGTCATGCAGCCAGAATACTGCTACATTGTTTGAGTACAGGGAAGTGTGGTAACCTCTGGGGAAAAATCAGCAGAGGTATATAGTTTCGACTACGTGGGCACAGCCACCCAGGAGAGCTGGACGAGAGAAATTCTTTGACTTCTCTTCAAACAGCTGATCAGGCCCTGTTGCATCAGATTCACTGGGGGGCTGGTTGCAGGGGACGAGTTTCATCCCAGACACAGTCCATCCTGGCGAAAAGGGGCGTTTCATTCCAGCCACAACCCTGTGTGTTTGAGAAGCATTGACTTCACAGTGCTGAAGGAGCGGCTATGCAGCTGCGTCCGGGAGTTGCAGCGAAAGGCTGACGTGGAGGCTCAAGAGGGAAAGTACCAAGATGCAATCAGATCGGAGACCCAGGGGCATTGGCAGTGGCTCAAGCTGGAAAACTGGATTTGATTGGTGGATCATTTTTGTTATTGTTACAATCATGGTAAATTGACAGGGTCATGTGTGCAAATTGATCGTCGAGTCAGCATGAGCATCGTCTTGTCGTGTGCATTGTTGTTGTTGTTGTTGTTGTTGTTGTTGTTGTTGTTGTTGTTGTTGTTGTTGTTGTCGTTGTTGTTGTCGTTGTCGTTGTCGTTGTCGTTGTCGTTGTCGTTGTCGTTGTCGTTG